GCAGTTGTGATGAGCAGTTTTACTGTGACCCTAATGGCCATATTCTGTGTGGTCCCATGGAAGTTTCTAGAAGGATAGGGCCACATCGGCCCACCATAGTGTCTCATTCATTAACATGCCCTGGACTGACCCAGTTCTGTTCTCTGAATCATTTCCCTTATACCCACTTAAGCTTACTGGAATTATAACCCAAATGAAATACCTGCATCAGAACCTGGCTTCAGAGTTTGCTTTGGGGGAACCTCAAAAAAGCTCAGAATTGATATTACTGAGTCCATATTGGATGCTGAGCACCAATTAGGAATTCGATTTCATTATCTTCTTTCCTAGCTTGAGTGTTCTTAACAGGTTGGGTACGATACTCATATATTAGTAGCAAATTAGAAAACCAAGACTCAGAATAACTGATTGGTTCAGGGACATTTATAATAATTAGCAATAATTAGACCCGCCGTGAGGCCATTCTGCGCGCCGAACAGTGGGAGGCAGCCGGCCTGCGACTCCAGCCTTATCCGCTGACCGCTCCGTGCTGCGTCTCGGAGCCATGAACCGGTTTGGTACCCGGTTGGTGGGAGCCACTGCGACGTTGTCTCCGCCTCCGAAAGCCCGCAGTAATGAGAACCTCGACAAAATTGCTATGTCTCTGGATGATACTGTCAAATTGAATAGAAAGGAAGGAAAGAAGCAGAATTTTCCAAGACTAAATGGACGACTCCAGCAAAGCAGTGCTCAGCAGTTCAGGATGAGAATACAGTGGGAATCCAGCAGAATTCTGATTTTGGTAAAACTAGTCTGAGCAGAAGAGGAAAAGTAATGCCTGGGAAGAGACGTCCTTATGGAGTTATCACTGGCCTTGCAGCTAGAAAAGCAACTGGAATTCAAAAAGGAGTTAGTCCCATGAATCGTCCACCTCTAAGTGACAAGAATATAGAACGGTGTTTTCCAGTGTTAAAAAGGAAAACAAACCTGAGACAAATTGAAGTACGAAGGAAACCAGCGGCAGTTCTCAAGAGACCTAACCAGTTAAACAGAAAAAATAACATTCCAGCTAATTTTACCAGGAGTGGAAATAAATTAAGCCATCAGAAAGATACTCGTCAGGCAACTTTTCTTTTCCGAAGAGGCCTGAAGGTTCAGGTCCAGTTGAACACAGAACAAGTGCTAGACGATGTAGTAGCGAAGAGAACTCGTCAGTGGCGTATTTCCACCACAAATGGAGGAATTTTGACAGGGTCCATTGACAACCCTGGAGCAGTACAGTGCCCAGTAACTCAGGAACCACAATTAACTCGTACTCCTGTACCCTCATTCTTGAGAAAACGGGAACAGTCTGATGTAAAGAAAGTTCCTAAAGGTGTCCCCCTACAATTTGACATAAATAGTGTTGGGAAACAGACAGGGATGACTTCGAATGAAAGGTTTGGAATCCTGAAGGAACAAAGAGCCACACTCACAAACAACAAAGGAGGAAGCCGCTTTGTCACGGTGGGACAGATCCTACGTCAAAGGACCTTCTGAGGGATGACTTGAAAATTTGAATTGCTTGAAGAACTCATCACAGAAATTCAAGATACTTTACTTCAAAATATTCACAAGGCTAAGTAACTCTTATGTTTGAAGTTTTTTGTTTTTTAAAAAACATGTATAAAATAATGCCCTAAAAGGTAACAGGGAATGTACCTATCTGTTAAAGATTTCATGGTTGGCTCAGACAGAACAATTTTCTTTTGACTTCCTTGGTTCCTCATATAGCAGATGAAAGAAGGAAGGAGAGGAAAAAAAAAAGAAATGGAGAGATTATTTTTATGATAGTGGCATTTAGGATCTTACCACCTTTGCCCACTTTTTAGACTTTGCCGTGGTAAAACTTTGTCTTCTGTAATACGAGTAGGTCCCTTTGTTGCTGTCTCTTATCCTTTGACGAGTGTTGCTGTACTAAGTGCAGTTGCCTTTTCTTCATTAGACATGTTTTTAAAAATATGAGAATTGCAATTTTGGCTTTTAAGATTGATAGAACTATCTGGAACATGGTTCATTTTTCAGGTGGTGTTAAGTTAGACCCCTGGAGTTGTAAATCTTTAGTGCTGAACTTTTAACAAGAAATGTGGTTCTTGGCATTAGTCTCAGTTTAAAATGTTGGTGTATGAATGCTGTAAATGCACGCTTACAGAGTTAACCGATAGAACACTGGAAAAGGTCCAGTGTAAAAAGCTGACAGTTTGTATTTAGTAATGAAGAAAGCGTGCAAGAAAGGAGCAGGTTGAAGGACCAGAAACCTAGGTGAAAAGCTTTGAAATGTAGTCTTGAATCTAGTGTCTTCAGATTCTTTGAGTGATATTTAGAATTTTAGTTTTAAAAAATGCATTGAGTCCTTAGATTTTTTATAGTAAAATTAATAGCCTTACAGTCCTACACTTTCTTTTATTCAAAAAGTTAAAATGTATAAGCTTGCTAAATTAAATAATTTATAGCTCCAAAAAGGAAAATATATGTCACAAAGAAAAAAAATGTGTAAAATTACAATAGAGTTAACATTGCAACCTTTACTGTATACCTTCCACCAGACTTTTTTGTATGATATAAAATGCAGGCATTTAGGTAAGAAAGAGCTTTTCTTCCTATACTCTGGAGAGGTGGGAGGAGTTAGTCTTTTGTGCCAAGATAGTGCTGAGAGTCTTCAGAACTTGTGTACTACAAATTACAGTAAAATGCCAAAATATAGCACAATATTCCAGCTGAAAATTAACAAGTTTGGTCATTTTGAAGCTTGACTTTTGGTTTTTTTATAATGTCCAAATTTCTAAATAGGTGTTTTTTTCTCTGGCTTATATTATTAGTGCTGACTTTTCCTATAAAACAAAACATTATCACTCCTGCCTACCTTGCATTTATACTAGATTGTATTGTCTCTTATGTTCCTTGGATTACTTACTGGTTTATGCTAGCCATGGGAAGCTATCAGTAACAGTTTGATGCTTATACCAAAGAAATCTGATCCTTAATATCTGATATTTTGCCTGTACTTTATTTGATAAGGGATTATTGAAACCCAGTCACAAAATTTGAAAATAAATTCTAGCTCTTCTTAGCAATTTGAATCTTTTCATAGAGGCCAAGGACTCATTGCAAAACATTTTTGCAAATATGAATATTTAATATTTGAACCAAGAACAATATGTTTTAGACTGCCTGGAAATACTGGTAGCTTATTTTAAAGGAAAAACAACTGAGCATGAGTTTGCTGTCTTTGAACAGTTTTTGAAAATATAGTATAAAAAGGTTCTCATTTTTCTCTTATTTTAAATATTACTATACAGAGGTTGTGTTAATGTCATTTTTTAGAAGACCTTAAAAATTGCCCCAAATGTTGACATTAAGTGCATCAAATAACAAAAGTGTCTTTGGTATATTAAACTTTTGCAATTCATACATATGTAATTTTCTTTTAAAGTAAATTTTGCCTTTGGTACAACTAAATTAAAGAAATAATTAGCAATAATTAATAACCTAGAGTATCAATGCTTCTGACAATTATACAGGAAAAGAATAAAACATTTTAGAATAAAGATATATATAGAATAAAGATATATATAGAATATATATATATATATATATTTCAGAAAATAGGCAAAATCTGGTCTCTTAGGTGTAGTCAAAATACGACAAAGTAAGGTTTAGAAAGAAACTGTGATAAAATAGTGTCTAGGAGCATTATATTTTGAGCACTTTGATGTCATCTAAATCCTTTATTTATAGCCCATTTTCTTTATTCTGGGAAATAAAGACAGGAAGATATGGCAGTGGAGAGCTGGCTGAATAAGTCAGATTTCAGAAGAATGCATTAAGAAATGACACTGCTTTGGCTTCTGTGACATTGGATAAAGAATTAGACAAAGGAGGCTTTTCTGGTACTTAGATACCGAATGTGAACAGAAAAGCGTGGATTGATGAAAAAAAAATTGAGAAAAATCCCTCTTTCATATTAAAATTCTCCTTCAGATTTTTTTTTAATCTTTCTAAATCACACTGCCATGTTTATAAGGGTAAGAGAATTATAGCGCAAACTGTCAAATCCAATAAATGTGGGCAAGAAGATAGCTGGACAAATGTTAAAAGAAGCAAAGGACAAAGAGATATGTTTCCATGTGCATAGGAAAGTATTAGAAGACCAATGTGTTTCCTAGATTTTTAGGAACTGTATTCAAATTAGAAACGTTAGAAAAACTCCTAGAATTAAGGAGTATGGCCCAATCTAGTCCACAGAAATGACTTTCTATAGTTTTTGTAGAATAACTATCAAATCAAGCTTACAATTCTTGAAGAAAAAAAAATACTGATATGTTTGTCAGAGGTAAAGCCCGGCATCTTCACAGAAAATCAAATTAAGCTCTCAGTTTTCATTAAATAGAAGAACGTTTGATATTTGTATGAAGCTTTGAGATTATTAGACAAAATATCTGGTAAATCTTTATTATGTACGTACTGCCTCTGCAGTCACTACTGTTTGCCTTTAAAATGTTGCATGAAGTTATAGAGAACTTAATTTGAAATGGGCATTGTCACTTCATTTCTTTGAATTTTAAGTAGATTTCATTTATATATAACCCAAAAGTATTGCATCATGTTATTTCCTGTAAATTTATTAGCTCTGCTATGAAGTCATTTTCTTTTGAATCCTACAAAAACTGTCTTTTAGCCAAGCAAGCTTTTGTAGTGCCCTCTAATTCGCATTTTAATAAATGTCATTTTCTAAGTGCATTACCTCATGTCTTGGCTAGAACCCAGATGAATCCCGAGAGAATAAGAGAAATGTGCTTTCTGACTGATTCATCCATATTTTATTTTACTTTTCATTAAGAAATTACTCTTTGAAGAAAATCAATAATCCCCCGTGGCTGAGGGGAGAGACTGGTGTGATGCAGTGATGCATTCTAATATCTCAGATCAGACTGCCTTTGGCCAGATGTTGCTGATAGTTTTCATCTTTCTTGTTCCCTCAGCCTGGGCAAATGGCGATGCCAGGAGAGTGACGTATCCTACAGACAGCCAGGGCCATTTCTGTGGCCAGAAGGGCACCCCCAATGAGTGAGTATGGCCAATGTGCTTTGTGAATAAAATCTTAATTGTCTAAGCTGGAGCCTAGCAATCACGGTTGATGAATCTTACTAGACTTCTTAGGAAGACGGAAATTCATAAAGGAGGGTTCCCCTCCCCCCTTTTTCTACAGTTGGGAAGTTTTACGCTAGATGGCTTAAAATCCAGTATTACTGTCATGTGGCATATAGAATGCATGGACTTTCTATAGGGATAAACTTGTTATCTATAAACCAACCTGACATGATTAAGGATTTGTTTCTCCCACTCCAAATATCTAGACTCTGCTCAGTAAAAATACGATTCTAATGGGTGGATTGAACAAGTAAGTTTTTTTCAATGGCCATATTTTGAAATACTTTATGAGATGGGTTATTGGAAGACCACGTTGTGAGCTGCTGCATAAATGCTGCTGCAGTAGTTTGATTCTTTTTACCACAATGCCTAATGATAAATGCTGATGAATAATTCTGCCTTCCAAAGTGAAGAGCACACTCAGAGGTCTGCAGAGCTCAAAAGGATTTTCAGGGCAACTTAACTTCTGTGGACACTACCCCACACAACTGAGAAAACAGTTCATTTCTATTTTTAATCATAACAGAGGTCTCCATTTCTGAAAGCAAGTTTTATATATCCTTACCTAAAATTCAAGTGAACAAAAAAACATAAATTGCATATTTTTAGAAAATGTTTCCCCCTTTCTCCTGGTCCATTTCTTTCTTTTCAACCTGAGATTGTTGGTAGATCTCGTTGCTTTTTATAACCAATTCAGTTTCTGGAAAACCTCACCTGGGATGGTATTAAAAACAGGCAACAACAGCCCCCCTCCACCGCTACTGCCCCAAAATGGTTTAGAGCACTTTAATTTTGTTCTCATGCTGTCCCCCCTTAACTGAGTTTATTGTTATATGAGCTAAGGGATTAAAACAACAGATTCAGTAAAGAGTTGCCAAATTCATAGACAATCATTTTAGACAATCAAAGAAAACCAGATATTTGGAGCAGGAGAGATAAATCCTTAATCACGTCTGGGTGGTTTACAGAAGACAACTTTATCCCTATAGAAGGTTTTCTGCCCTTTGCAGACAAGTGAACTGAATTCTGTTTTAGGGTGGTAATTCTTATTTTAACCTCAGTAACTTGGAAAGTCTTTGACATTGCTGAAAAAAAAAAAAGACACTATAAAGGACAAAGAAAGCACCAGGTGGTGTTAAAAAAAAAGAAAATCATAAAAATCTCTAAATCTTTAGTTCTTTAAAAGAGGCTATTTTTAAAAGGCTTTTACAACAATAAGTTTTCTAGGCCTAAACCAATGACCCACTTACTTTGACCAAAAATGTGACACCATAAATTTCAATACATAGATTACTCAAAGAGAATCCTTATTTAATACACAGATATGTTCATTAAATTATTATTTATAATAAAGTATATTGGAATCTAAACTGGTCTTCAGCAATATATAGTAAATTATGGATCATCCACATAATGCAATATAATAGGGTCACTGAAAATTATGTTCATAATTTCAATAGTTGATTCTACTGATGTTTCTTTTTTTGTTTGTTGGTTTGTTTGTTTTTTTGCTTTTTTTTTTTTTTTTGGTACCAGGGATCAAACTCCGGTCCTTATGCTTGTGAGGCAGGCAGTGGGACCACTGAGCTAAATCCCTGGCCCTCTACTGATGTTTCTTTATATTCTCTGAGTTTTTTTTTTCATGATTATGGCTTGCCTTAATCTTGAAAATAGCATACTTTTATATTTCCCTATTAGTTTTATAATTTTATAAACATAGCAAAATTCAAAAATATAATAAAGTTTTGAAGAATTTTATCAAACAAGTACACCACCTTAGTCACTGTGAACAAAGTTAAAAGATAAGTGACAAACCAAGAAAACAATTATTTTCAGAATTATTTCTGACAAGTGGATCAAGGTTTATAACATAAATTGCTCTTATATGATCAAAAAAGAAAAGATGATCCCCTCTGCTATAAAAGAAGGCAAAAGTCATAAATAGGAAATAACATATAGTATAATGGTCAGTAACAATAAGAAATACTTGCCACTTATTAGTTTTTGAACTAGAGTTAAAAGAGAAAATATAAATTAATAAATATTATTTTACCTATTAGGCTATCAAATAAATTTAAAAAGATTAAAATTTCCACTTCTGGATAGAGTGAGGAGAAACAGCCACTTTATTTTCTACTAGTGATAGCATAGCATGATATTTATCAACTATTTTTCAAACATGTCTGCTGTATGACTGAGCAGTGTTCTTTCCAGAGGCTTATCTGATAGAAATAGGAATATATTCCCTAGGTACTGTGTCCCTCAGCTTCCCATTACCATGACAAAACACCGTAGAAAAGCAATTTAAAGACATGAAAGTTTACTTTGGCTCATAGTTTCAGAGGCTTCAGTCCATGGTCACCAGGCCCTTGTGACAGCACAGCACATCGTAGCAGGGACATGAGGCACAGGTGGGCTGTTCACTTCATGACAGCCGGGAAGTAAAGAAAGACGAGAAAGAGCCAGAGTCCCAGTAACTCCTTCAAGGTCATGCCCGGGTGACCTCACTTCCTCCAATCAGACAGACACACACCCTGTGTGTTCCACCATCTCCCGGTAGCACCACAGGACAGGAACCAATCCTTCCACATGTAGCCTTCAGGGGACACTCAGATCAGACTGTAGCAGGTGTCATGTAATAGTCAGAAAAAAATGGAAATAGCCCATGTATCTATCATTAAATTAATTAAATGAATTAGGATAATTCATTTACGATATAATAAAACATTTAATCCTTGAAAATGATTGTGTATTGATATATTTTTGCATGGAAAATGCCTATGATATATTGTTAAGAAACCTACAAAGATGACACACGGGTTTAGTTCCATTTTGTGAGTATGCTTATGCACTTGTACACTTTATATTCTCACAAATAAAAACACCTGTTTATTCAAGGAAAGCAGCCTGAAAGGGTACCATGTGCTTGCAGTAACTGCTTCTGAGAGAAAGGAGTATAGTTTTATGTTTACTCACATATTTTTTGAGCTCTATTTAATCCCAGACAGTATTCTAAAAAGGAAGGGTAAGAGTGCAAACATTTGGCCAAGCCACCTGACTTTGTGCAATTTACGTTCCAGTTCGAGGAAGATTGGCTATAAAGATATGGATAAATAAGATAAATTCAATAGGGATAAATGCTAGGAGGGAAATAGCAAAAGGAAGCCTGACGGAGAATGACTGGTGCGCCACACCAGAGCGTCGTCTCGGGGCTGCGGGGCTCAGGGAGGGCTTCTGTGGGGAAGGGCGACTTGGACGTGAGCTGCACGGAGTGGGAAGACACCAGACTTCCAAAAGCCCTGGGAGGAGCTTTTCATGCAGAGGCAAGAAGTGCAAACGTCATGAGCCGAGAGATGCTTCAGTAACAGAGAGAAGTCCAAGAAGCTGCAATATAACAAAGAGAAAAGTGCCATGGGCTACTGTTTGGGAAACAGGTAGAAATGAGGTGTTTGACAAGGAATTTAGATGATTTGTAATTGTAGAGAAGGCCGTGGAAATACAGATGTTCATCGAGAGTGAACCAGTTCATTTGCGTTTTTAAAAGACCATTCTGTTTGCCTCCTCAAACTTTCTTGAACTATTTCAATTGTTATAGTCAGTATGTATACAGGAAAATATTATTTTTCTTAACTATGAAAAAACTTAATGGAAGATGTCATTAGAAAGTTACAAAATCTAATTATGAGAAATATTATTTTATTATTTATGTGCTTATATGCACTATAATTTTCTACCAAAATATCCATTATACTCCCTTGCAAATTTTCAAAACATAAAATATTGAAAGTATAGTACCTGAAGCAATCAATCTCTTTAGTTATTAAAGCCTTTTTTTTAATACACCAGGGATAAAACTCGGGACCTTGGGCTTGCAAGGCAGGCAGGAGAACCACTGAGCTAAATCCCTGGCCCTTAAAGCCTTCTTTTTAAAAAATGATTAACATTTTGTCAGAAAAATGCTCACCCTGGAGTCAAATTCTGACTTTAACTCCTTCAGCATTGACCCTTGGGCATGGGACACACCCAACTGGTTTTACTCTCCTGATTATGAGGCAAAAATTAAATAAGAGAACAGTAATTTAGGAGAAATTTATATAGTTCTTTCTATTTACAAAGCAGTATTTTTGAGGTCTTCCAATGGACTGGTGACCATGGGATACTTATATATGCACTAACAAATAAGAAAGGGCCATTCTGCGCCATTTTTCAGGGGTCTCTTAGTCTTCAGGGACAGAGTCAACAAACATTGGTTTCAATCTATTACATTCATGAAGTGCTCTGTTTTAAGACTAAAGAACTGTATTAGTAATTTTCCTACCACTAGAACAAACACCTGACACCTGCAACTTAAAGGAGAAGAGGTTTATTTTGGCTCCTAGTTACAGAGGATGCAGTCCGTAGTCATCTGGCTCTCAAGCAGAAACAGCATAGCAGAAGGGAGGATAACTGTGGCAACAACTCATAGCAACCAGGTAGCAGAGAGACAGGGAAGGGACAAGCTGGAAACAAGCTCACCCCATTATGTCATACCCCCCACCCACCAGTTCCAGCCAGGTACCTCCTGGCTCACATTCAGCTAAGAACCAATCAATGGGTCAATCCATTGATGAGTGTAGTACCTTAAAGATCCAGTCTCCTTCCAAAAGTCTCACCTCTGAACATTTTGGGAGGATGTTTTAGATCAGGAGCATAATAAGTTCCACACGACAGTCGCATGTGAAACAGCCCTCCATTCTTTTCCATGGTTCCTTCAAGACCCCAATTTACTGACTTCAGTATTTATCACTTCCTTAGCTTATCCAAATTATGAACTTGTTGACAGGATCCAAAATTCTTTGAGATCACAAGCATTCTCTTTTTCCCTGTTGTATCCTTGGCACCTATAGCATTGTCTGGCACTATAGCACATGAATGAT